TATGTTCAATTCATTTCATTCTTCTTCCCTTCCTCACTCCCTGCCTCTTCTTTCCCTTTTGCTTTGTGCCCTGCTCTCGCAGCGGACCTACCATTGTTGTATATAATGGTCCTCTCCTCTCAGTATGCTGTTCCTGTGTTAGTGCATGTCATTTCCTCATTCCCTTCCTCCCCCTCCCTCCCTCTCTCCCTGCTTGCCTTCCTCCCTCTCTTTTACTTTTCTTTTGTGAATGCAACCCCAGCACTCTCAAAGAACCCCGCTTTCACAGCGGCCCTGCCATTGCTTCAGTGTATTGGTATGTCATTTGAGTGTTCCTATTGTCAAAGCTCAATTTTGCGCTGAAATCTTTAATCTTTGATGGCATATTTCAACCATTTTACTTGTGCCATCATTTCGTGAACCCCTATATTTTCAGGCACAGGTAGTGTTGGAAGAATTGTTAAAGAACTTGGTTATACTATTATATCACTTGATCTTAAAAATGCTAGTATCAATGAGGATATGTTGAAATGTGATTATAATAAATTTGACAACGACTTTGATGTTTCTTGGTCATCCCCGCCTTGCACTGAATACATCATAGCAAAACAAACAGGCACTAGAAAAATTGATGAAGCAAATGAAACAGTGAAGAAAGCTATTGACATAATAAACTATTTTGATACAAATGTTTTCGTTGAAAACCCCCCAGACCGGACTTTTGAAGGAGCAAGAGTTTATGAAAAACTTCGTTTTTTGATGTTGATTCTTGTAAAGATGGAATGGCATACAGAAAACGCACCAGACTTTGGACAAATATAAAAACTTGGACACCTAAACCATTATGTAAAAAGAACTGCGTACAAATGGAAGGGAATAGGCATAGGGAAACAGCACAAAGGGCACCTAGCAATAGGAAGGAAACATGGCCTGAAAACTTGAAAACTATACATTGTTTAATCAGAAGGAATTATACATAATCCCAGAAGAGTTGATCAGATAAATATTTATATAATGCTATAAACTAGATATTTACTATTCTATTTTTTCTATGAGAGACCAATGGGGGATGTTCACCTGACCAATACTTAAAGGGATAGTAGCAATAGGTACTAAGGAGATGAAAGGTGATAAGTTTGAGAATGTGTATTGTCAGGTGTGTGAGTGCAATGTGAGGAAAAGTGGATGGGGGAAGCATAAGAAAACAAATACGCATATTGAGAATGCTCAGGGTGGAGGTGAGGAAGTGGAGAAGAGAAGGTGTGGACAGTGTGGATGTAATAAGGAATTTTGATGTTTTAATGAAAAGAATGCGACTTGTAATGTGTGCTTAGACAGATGGAAAAGGTGGGTGGGGAGGAATGTTGAGAAGAAGAAGGAGATTGATAGAGTTTGGAGAGAGGAGAATAGGGAGAAGAAAAACTAATATGATCGGGAATATAGTTTGATTGAGATGTGGTGTGAGGTATGTGCGTGCAAGGTGAGAAAATGTAAGTGGAGAAGACATATTGAGAGTAGGAAGCATAGGATGGGTGGGGAGTGGGGATGATGGAAAGATGGTGTGGGGGGAGATGGGGGAAGGGTGGTCAGGTGAACATCCCCCCTTGGTCTTCCCCTACTAACATATCTGAAAATGGAGAGAATATCGGACTCGCTCAATAGGATTACAGGATCACATCTTCTTCCGTGTTTCAACACCAGTAGAGGCCCCGATCCTTCCAATCATTCATGTGATCCATAGAAACGCATTCAAGTCGCATGTTTAACTGTTGTGTTTGGCCCGAACTCCCCCACAACTGCGTCAGGCAACATCTATTTGATCGATGGTCTTGTGGAAACTACTGATTTCTGCACTTATACAGTAATAGAGCTATATTGGACATAAAGCCTTTTTCATAAAAATATTTTAAAGAGTACAAAACAATAATACAATTCCATTTGATAAACTGATTTTTGTTTACACTATTTAATTTACAAATGCTTTTTGCAAAGTAAAAAAACTAAATTCAATTCTATTTAATAGAGTGACTCAGTGGCCTCCGGCTACTATTTAAAAAATAAATAAATAAAAACTATCTATTTTTTTACTTATATAAATTGATCGAATTTACAAATGCCTTTGGTATTTTTATTTCTTAATAGAATTTTATTACAATTCTATTTAATAGAGTGACTCAGTGGCCTGCGGCTATTTAAAAAGTTTGAAAAAAAAATTTTTTCTGTACAAAAGCCTTTTGTAAAGTAAACATAGATAATTTGTAAAAAATAGATCAACATCAATTCATTTCTTTAAATTTACAAATGCCTTTTATAAATAAACAAAAACAATACAATTCCATTAAATAGAGTGACTCAGTGGCATCCGGCTATTTAAAAAATTAATAAATTAAGAAAAATAGATAAAATCAACAAAATAAATCAAAATCGATCTATTTTTTATTTACAAATGCCTTTTGTAAATTAAAAAAGTACAAAAAATACAAAAAATAAATCAAAATCTATTAATAATTTAATTTACAAAAACCTTTTGTAAATAAAAAAAACAATTATAGTTAATAGAGTGACTCAGTGGCATCCGGCTATTTAAAA